TAAAGTTAACCCATTTTCGGATGAACAGTGTACGAACAGAACCAAGGGTAAAATTTTAACGTTGAAAATTTTCATCCGAAAACACTGCGAAACACATTATAATAGTTCCAATTGACATATAATGGGTTATAAAGAGAGGTGTGACAATTCTTCTATTTGATCTTTTATACATTTCTGTCATTGTATGTGATCTTTCAATTAAAATACTTGTTCTGGCTGTAATTAATTAAAAAGGGAATTGGTTTGAAAATGTTGTTTTGTACAAAGGATAAAGGGATTATGTGAGATATGATTATTTTAATCGGATTTATTTAATATATATTTTGAAAATCATCATGCAAACCATTATGCTATATTAGAGACCCAAAACGATATTGCTATTTGTTATTATCCTTTTTAGCTTCACATTAGTAAATTAATCTACATTCTCAGCTTATAAATTAATCTTTTAAACTTACTTGAGGTAGTCCTTTGATTTTTATTTTTGGTAGATTTATTAAGTTTTTCCATAATGCTTATGAACTTAAATGGTTTTCATCCAATCATGATGCACAAATTTTTTTTTTCAATATTGATTGTAGATATAGTTTGACAAAATATTTTCTTGGATACATATTAAATGCAAGATGGCTTTGAGTTTTAAGTCCTAGGTTATTGTAGAGTCCTACTTAATACTTGGGAGAATAGAAGTTTGGGTTGACAACTTTATATTAACACATTTAGAGTTTTTAATTTGTTTTCCTTTCAAATTTGACTAGTATATGTGTGATAATATCATCAATCTAGTAGTGAGAGACCTTCAATCATGAATATATTTCGATAACTAATATCAAGGTATCTATGATTTGATTAGAAGTAATTTTTTTTAATTTTTTTCTAGATTGAATTGGTAAGGCATAGATATATGTCGGTTCATTAAATGCTTATTCAATACTTTATGGTAGTTCATCGATACTTGGAATTGAGTTGAAGAACTATAGTTCAAAGTCATTCGTGCTATCATATGGTGCTAAGTGACTCATATGTGCAATAAGAAAAATACTATGTTATAATATGAGTTCCAAAAGAGAAAGAGTATGTGAAGAAGTAATGACTCGAATAGCTAATAGTAGAAATGGTCGAGACATGATTAGAATGGGTCCTAAAACCTTTTTAAAATTATGTTGCATATTATAGAGAGAGAGAGAGAGAGAAGGTGGCTTATAAGCCACACAATGGCAAGTGTGGAAGAACAAATTGTTAAGATTCTTCATATTTTGACACATAAAGCAAGAAATTATGTAGTTAACTTTATTTTTCAAAGGTTTGGTGAGACAATTAGTCGTCATCTCTATAAAGTATTAGACACTATTATTGAATTAGAAGAAAAATTTTCGGTACAACCTAATGGTTCTTCAGTGCTTCTTGAGATTCGTAATAAGGGTGAATTCTTTCCTCTCTTTTTTTCAAAGATTAGGTTGATGCAATAGATAAGACACATATAAGTGTCAAAGTATCCCCAGCAGATACCCCTAAATATCATAGTAGGAAAGAGTACCCAACACAAAATGTTCTAGCAACATGCTCATTTGATCTAAGGTTTACTTATGTGCTCCTAGGGTAGAAAGGCACGGGGCATTTGACTCAAGAATTTTAAAGAATGCATCGACTCAAGAAGACAGGTTTAGAATCCCCTGTTTGGGTAATTTTAAAATTAATCCAATTAATCAAGTTACTGTCACCCATTCATATTAACTATATTCATTCGTTATGGGAAAATATTACCTTGTGGATGCCGGTTTCATGTTAATAAGGTGACTTATCACAACTTATAGAGGAGTTTGATATCATTTAAAAGAATATTCAAGAAATCCACCACAATCACAAGGAACTATTCAATCTAAGGCATGTATCATTACGAAATGTAATTGAAAGAGCATTTGGAGTATAGAAAAATGGTTTCAAATTTTGTCTAGCTCATCAAAGCCCACTTATGGGGTCAAAGCTCAAACATTTGTAATACTTACATGTTGCATTCTTCATAATTACTTGATGACTACAAAACTTGATGAAGATCTTATCAGAAGTGGATGAGAAACTTGCAAATTCAACTGAAAATGATGATAGTTGTGCTCCAAATAATGAGGGTGTGGAAGCTACTCAAGGTGAGCTTATTAAAGAAAATATAGCTAATCAAATGTGAATGGCTTATCAAGCTCAAGCTCATTGATTAATTGATATATTTAATCATGATTCATTTTTAGTACTTATATTTGTTATTTCTAGAATGATTTATAATATTAATTTGATTGAGTTTCATTTTTAAGTCTTATATTTGGTATTTTTAGATCAATTTATGGTATTTCTTCCATTGACTTTCATTTTTAGTACTTATATTTGTTATTATTGGAATGATTTATAATATTAATTTGATTGAGTCTAGACCTATCTCTATTTTTTAATTCAAATTTTATTATGCTATAATGAACATAACTATAGAATGGCAACAAGATCAAATAATGGCAAGGAGTTGCACAATTGGACAAGGACTATGGATGATGCCCTTATTAATGCCTTCATATATGAGTACAAACATGGTCAAAAAGTTAATGGGACATTTACTACTATAGCTTATGAAAACATTGCCCAAGTGTTAAGTGCACAATTTGACAGGAATATTAACAAGGACAAAATAAAAAATCATTGAAAGACATTAAAAGAAACTTTTCAGAAGTTTATGATATATTTAAAATTGGCTTGAGTGGTTTTGCTTGGGTTGTATCAACTCAATTATAGGATGCTAAGCCTCAAGTTTGGGAGGCTCTAATTCAGGTATGACTTTTACATTTTATACATGGTTGATTTTTTTTTTTGGTGAAACTTAAATTATGTTTTTTTTTATATGTGCATGTATTATCTCAATCTAAATCAAAGGTTGCAATTTGGTGAAATACTCCGTTTCCTAATTACAATAAGATGATGATCTTATACAGAGTTGATAGAACTGGTAGAGATGAGTCTCTAACAGCAAAGGAGTGAAAATGACACCATTCATCCCTTATGGATGTAGATTATGAAATTATTAATGACCTGGATCAACTTATGTCTTAAAAGCAATACACATTAGTTGGTGTTGAGATTTTAAGTGATGGTGATACTGGTATAGAAAATCTCTTACCTTCTAAGTAGGCACAATAAGCAACTGGCGATTGTGGTAAAAAGAGAAGGAAAGAGCATGCTTAAGATAAGGAGATTGATCTCAACATAGTGAAGAGCATAGTATCTGACATGGCAATAACAATTAGAGAAGGTAATGAAGCATTAGCTTGAGGTCATGATTTAATTCATGATGTTTTGAATCGAGAAAATGATTTATTACACGAGTTAAATGTTATAGAGAGAGAGAGTTTTATCCACAAGATTCCACCCATGTCAAGTGAAAAAATTTGGCATTTGATAAGTGAATGTGGATTTGATGCTAACAAAAAGCCTCAAATTTATAACTATCTCATAAGTGATGTTGACAAGTTGAGCAGTTGTTCGATGCCCACTTCCTGCACGTAAAGTAGTAATCATGGATATGGTGTTTAGATTTTCTTCATGTTCTCATTAGGAGTAGTCTTATGTCATGTTATCATTATTTGAATTCTTTTTTAATGTGGATGATATATTTGTTCGTACATCCTTTTTCACATGGATCTTTTTATTTTGGAAGTATAGATGTTTACTTTAATTGTAATATATATTGGTACACATGTTCCATATATTTTTTTAACACGTTTTTGAGCTTGGTTCAATTAAAAATATTATTATTATTATTGTTATTTTGAATAAAACTGGTATATAATTTGTAATTTTAATTTTGATGCAACTTAAATAATTTTTATTAAATTTGGTGAATTGCATTATACATATTTATACCTTGATAGAATAGAAAAGTGAAAAAAATTTATTTTAACCTTATAAGATTAAAATAGTCAATTTTTTATTGGCTCTCCTTCCCTCCTCTTCTAGACCAAATAAGGAATCATTAAAATCCCTCCTTTCCTTTCTCTTTCCATACCCTCCCCTCTCTAGCTACCCTTCTCTTTTCTCCCCTCCCCTCTCCTTCATTAAAATCCCTCCACTTCCTCCCCTCCATCAAGCCAAACACAGTGTTAGAGTAGCCATGAACTTACGTGTTGATTAGACTTTGTTTTTATTTAATTAATTATGCTTGATATCAATTTTAGTTACTTAATCCTAGTTTAATATATCTATTTAATGTTTGGCCATCATTAAATATGAGTTTGAGCATTGAGGTTAGCCTTGACGAAGGAAATCTTAATTAGACTCTAGGATTGAGTAATATGATATTAGGTTTTTATTTAGTTTGCAAGTATGATAGAAATATACCTAAGAGCCTCATATAATTGATAAAGATTGAAATTAGTCCTCTTAGGTATTTGAGTTGACATAATCTTGTTAACCTGTGAGATAGCTATAAATAGATTGAAAGACACTTGTAGCTATAAATATTTTAAATTAACTAAATTAACATTGAGATTAATTAATTAAATGAAAGCAAAAATCTATGAAATGAGGAAGGTATTCATGACTCTATGTTGCATTTAATGTTGAATTTTTTTTCCCCTAAACCAAGCAATCATAATCTAGCTTGCTTAACTTGATTGAAAATAGGAACTTTAATGCCTAAATTCTACTTTGTTCGATTCTTTGTAGGAACGATCCTCTATACTCACTCTTTATTACTTAATCGACACATATACTTGCGTTATTCCCAATTTGTGTTTACCAAACAACCATCTATTATATATCAAGCTACTAGCTAGTGGATTCAAAATCCTTGTTGGGATGCAAAGGGGAAAAACATTTCTAACATGTGTTTTCTTTTCTTTTGTTTTTCTTTTTGTCTTGCTTTTCTTCATTTATAGTCCTAACTTATACTGAGTCATTGTAGCACCTAACCTTAACTGTAGGTTTCAAGAGAATGCCTTAGTACATTTTGATAACTAACTCTTTCAGAAACAATTGAATCCGTCACCATAAGTCGTTCCTGGGAAGGTTACATTATTTGCTTGTTGCACTTTATCATTCTGGCTCTGAGCTGAAATCTCTTTGGAAGGCGAATTCAGCGATCGTGCAAGCTGCTTCACGCGGTTCAATCGCAAGGACTTTCGTATGCTACCTGAAATTCATCATGATGAGGCAAAAAGAAGTGTCATACGCAGTCAGGATTCTATGAATTTAATGACCGATTCAATATGAAATCCAATACTAACATAAAAGCTAGTTAGAAATTCAATTTGATTCTAAATATAATATCTCAATCCATTTTGTCTCTAATATTTATTTATATTATCCCAAGTAATTCTATGGTGATTAAACATGTTAAAGAGTTTCCATCGATGTGTAGCTCTAATGGACATTAACAAGGGTATTTTAAGGATGACAACATTCATTTATCATAAATAATTAACTTAACTTTCTTAATATTTGTAAGTTAGTTATTTATCTCTTAATTATATTAAGGACCAGAGGTGGTACAAGAGCTAGTTGGGAGTTGAGTTTGGTCCTAAATATAAGATCTTAATCAATTTTATCCTTTACATTTATCATTCCTTTTTCAAAATATCCATATTGATTGCAAATGTTATGTAATTGCATCAAGAGATAATTTCAATGCAAATAATTTAAAGTGTATTTTAAGTAAACTAACACATTTTTTTTTTATAAATAACTAATTTAACTAATTTTTTTTTATAAATAAGCAGATCTTGTATTAAAGACCAGAGTATACTTGTATTATATACATATGTGTCTATTGTGTGTGTGTGTTATGTGTGAGTACAAATACAAGGTTTATCATGTAACTTACCCTGAGATGAGAGATCCCCGTTAGGTATCAAGTGTGGAACAATTTGGTGAATCCCAATTTGAGAATCATGATGATCAGCAATTGAGTGTATCATGTTACGGGCAAGTTGTCTTATATGACTCAGACGCAACCTTGTTGGTAAATTCGTTGGTTTATATGTTAGAGCTTCCATATGAACTACTCCTGATGACGATCCTATTAATTATTTATTGCACATTAGCAACAAAGCAATATATATAATAACTACAGAATTTGAATGCAAAACTTTGCAAGCATTTTGAATCCATGAATGAATTGCTTATGATGAGGGAATAAATTAAAATATGACCAATTTCTGAAGAAAATCACAATAATTTCAGACAAATTGGGAATATCTTTTCAGGTCAGAATATAATTCACTTATATACGAGGTACTTAGAATAGTAAGAGTTTCTTGGGACAAGAACCAGAAAGAAAACTCAACTCACCATCAATGTAATGCGAAGATTGTTGCTCTGATGATTCAGTTTGGAGGACCCTATAGTCTGAAATGGAACAAGGAACAATAAAGCTTGCTTGGCCATGGCCATCATGGCTAGTGGTGGCGGCTGCATCGGTTTCATCAAGAGGAAAACAGATTCTGTTGTTGTTGTTTGCAGCTCTCTGTCTTCTGAGTTGGTAGTTCCTTCTTCTTCTAGCAAGATGCCTTTCTCTTTGTTCTTGAGTCATTGACTGTCTCCTTTCCCTATCTCTTATTCGTCGCCTCTCTCTTTCTTGCTCCCTTTGCATTCTCCTCAACTCTGCTCTCTCCCCATAATCTTCCATAGCCCTCTCCTTTTTTCTATCTCCTATGTCAAATGAATTCAATGGGTTCTCGCACGCTTCAAAAATTATATATATGCTGTCATCAAATTAAGAGTTGTTCTTAATAATAAGATATATATGTGGCCGATCGCTACTACCTCGAGGAGTACGAGTCTCTATAAAAAGAGAGGTCTCAATATAAGAGTTCGATAATTACTATACGAATATTAAGAAAATTAGTTAGGTTAGTTGTTTGTAATAAATGAGTATTGTTTTCCCTTAGATGCCCTTACTAATCATGTGCATTAGAATATAAAACATTTAATATGTGTAATCATTATGGGAACTACTTTGAGAAAAAATAAATAAACAAATGACACAAAGTGAATTGTGGTATTATATTTAGGATAAAATTAAATTTTTAACTAGTTCTTATATTTAAGACCCAAAGTAGTATATAGGCATCTAGCAAGTAGGAGCCTCTTCAGAGAGAAAAGGCACTTAGCCAATCATGACACGTATGTGACTCTCATTGGCTACGTGTTTTCTCCTCTTGGAGCCGAGAGATTGAATCGAATTAATATAGCTATTTCACAAATAGTAAAACCAAATCCAAGTCCAGATGAAGTTTCAGATAAGGAAAATAAAGTGCATAATTACACAGATTATGTTTATTTAAATGTTCCCGTGGAAAGACATGAATCTTCAGCAAAGTCATTTAGGAAAGAATCTGGTAGAGTGATTTGATAAGCAATAATATTTTATAGACATTATTGAGTGAAGAGAGAAAATATGTGAAATGGTAAAAACATGGAATATTACTATATCATTTTAATGCTTCTGAGAAACAAGTGGAAACTTACAACTCCTATTTGTCTGGGCTATTTTTCAGCTATTATAATGAAATGAAATTTCTCATTTACGTTGTCCATCGATGGCTGTAGCAATGAAGACCTTTTTTTTTTTTTTGAAAAAGTTTTCGAATAAACAAAAAAAAAATTGTTCCCGATAAATGCAGGAAACAGGGGCAGAAGATAACCGATATATAATAAGCACAGAATGATTCTTTCATAAGGTTCTCCGAATTGCTTCATTCTTAAAAGGGCGATGGAATTTACAGATCATTGAAAATAGCATGACAAATGAAATTAAATTTCATAGAACCAAAATTATGAATCAGAAAGTAATGTGATAATTTGAATATATAGCTAAATTAATCTTAATCTGCTAGTTTATATATTGTGGATGGAAAGCGTACCTGGTAGTGATAGAGAAATCGGTGAAGAAAATTATGAAGCAGCTTGTGAATATGTGTGCGCTCTTTTGGGTCTAAATTGTTAAGAATGTTTGTTTTAATAATTGTGATTAGATTGAAGGCATGAGAAATGCATGACAAAGGTTCTTTAGGGACTTCCCATCATAACCGTTCTATGCGGCGTTTGCCAAATCAGTAATATTGACTCGGACACCTGATAATGCGGTCGCTTCTGAATCTCAAACTATTACAAGTCTTAAATTATTTCAGCTATATTTTTTTTCATGAATTGTGATTTTCCTCACCTGTTTTATTTCTATATGCCATTTTATGCCCAAAAAGAAATGATTATATAGAAAAAGATTAAAAAAAATATAGTAATAACTAATAAGGATTGTTTTTCAAAATATGTACTTAAAATCACTCATGCATCAGCTATACTCTTGACATCTTGTAATACCCTATAAATTTAAAAATGAGTCGGGTATAATATTATGGGATCTAAATATATTCAATGAATTAGATTTGAGTGTATATATATTGAATTAAATAGGAAGCAATAGCCTTATAATTAAATACGATTTCAATTGAAGGTTTAAATTAACAATTAATTTTGGATTTTTTTTTGGTCAGAAATTAATTTCGGATTTGAGTAATATCCTAATTGGGATTTGAATATAAGAAGAATCCCATTTAAATCTAGTTGAAATACTAAAATTCAAAACCAGGCCTATACTTTGAACAAATTCCTAATTAGGACTAGAGGCCTAATTAGGAATTCATAAATGTTATTCAAAGTCCGGAACGCCCTCTGTAATTGAAATATGAGTTGTTACCTTTACATTCTTTTTAGTAATTTTTTATTTTTTTTTGTTAACTTTATATTTTTCTCTCTCATAAATTCTTTTTCTACCTCACAAATTCTTTTCCTGAAATATAAAAATAGTAAATCTTTGGTAAATGATAAAAAAAAAAAAATACAACACAATCATTGTTCCATATTAATAATTACTCCGATGGTTTTGATTTTTGCTTAATTTTAATATTGATCCATCCCCCATATACTTAATAATATATACACACGCACACTTGGAAAACTGGTGAAATAGCAGGGACAAAGGATCATAATATATAGTTGTTATTTTCTGAAATAGTCAAAAAGGCATGCGATGGTCATGAATAAAACAGAAAATATTTGAAAAGCCACTGCGTTAAGGACCAAATAGAGAAATATGAACCATTTGACCCTTTATTCGGACCGAAAATTTTTACGGATTGGTTAGGGTGCTAGAGTGATTAATAATGTGAATTGAGGACAATGTTGTAACTTCATGTCATCTACTATGGTTTTATTATTTTCATATTTTAGAAAAAGGATTTATGGGGGAGAAAAATATAGAATTAACAATTCATTTTAATTACAGAGGTGCATTTTGGACTTTTAACAACATTCATAAATCCCTAATTATGCCTTTTGGCCTAATTAGGAATCTGTACAAAATGAAAGCCTAATTTTGAATTTTTGTATTTCAACTAAATTTAATTGGGATTCTCTCTTGAATATATTGAATTAAATGGGGAGTATCATTATTAAATGGGATTTTAATTAAAGGTTCAAACGAAGAAATTAATAATTAATTTTAAATTTGGATAATATCTTAATTAGAATTTGAATATATTGAATTAAATAGGGATCATCATTATTAAATAAAATTTCAAGAGAGGCTCAAATGAAGAAATTAATAATTAATTTTGATATTTGAATATATTCAATTAATGAGATTTGAATAATATCTTGATTGAGATTTAAATATATTAAATTGAATGGAGAGCATTATATAAATGTGATTTCAATTTAAGGCTCAAATAGAAAAATTAATAATTAATTTTGGATTTGAATATATTGAATTAAATGGTGGAAATTATTATTATTAAATAGGATTTGAATTACAACCTCAAATGAAGAAATTAATAATTAATTTTGAGTTTCAATAATATCTTAATTGGAATTTGAATATATTGAATTAAATGGGGAGTATTATTATTAAATAGAATTTCAATCGGAGGCTCAAATAACGAAATTAATAATTAATTTTGGATTTGAATAATGTCTTAATTAGGTTTTAAAAAAGATTGAATTAAATGAGGAGCATCATTATTAAATGGGATTTCAATTGGAAGCTGTCACATCCCGAATTTTAGGCTTAGAAGTATCAAAATTAGCCTAAAATAGGCAGATTACTAGACCCTTTTTGGTAGAGGTCCTCGAGCATCCCTAGAAGGACAGAGAGATTCCCAGGGACTGAATTGCAAAGGGAAAATTTTCCGGGACTAAGAAAAAAGGAAGTTAGAGACTCAAAAGAAGCCTCAAGGCCCAGGAATGAGAAATGAAGATAAATGTAGGCCAAAGGTTATGCTGGAGGCCTCAATGAAGTGAATTTTGAGGTTAAGCCAAACTAGAGGTAAAATTGTAATTTTGTAAAGTTTTGGGCTAGTAAGGATAAAAATGAAAATTATGCCTGAAAATTTCAGAAAACGGAAAATAATAGGTTAAGGCCTGAACACTTTAGAAAAATTCTAAAAAAATGGGAATAAGGTTTAGAGGCCTGAATAAAGCTAAAAATGACGAAAATGCCCTTCGAAAGAATTTGTGGAATCCCTAAGGTTTTGACTAATTTGAAATATTATTAAAAAGGAATTTTTTTAAAGTATAGGGAGGCCTTAGATAATTGGAAGGAAATGGGGGAAGATACTGGAGGAATTATCACAGGTTTTAAAAATAGTTTCATCCCCAGAAAGCGAAGAGGTTGGCTTTAATGGAATTTAAAACCTATTTACATGCTATTTGGGGAAAGTCAAAGTTAAATGTCTAGAGGTTGACTTTTGACTTAAGAAAAATTAGAGAAATTCTCTGTGATGAATAAATAGTATTGGTACTTAGAGACAAATTCTCGAAGTCGTAGACTGGTAGAAGGAATTCAGTTTTACTTCGAAATAAATATGATTAATTATTTTAATTATTGTAATGGAAGAACAAGGGAAGAGCATCACTCCCTCTTTGGGCATGTTATATAATGCCATGTGGATTTATTTGAGGTGAGAAAATGGTGCCATAACATGTCCTAGTGGTCGCAGAAAAGTCAGAACCCGAAAAAGTATCCTATACGGTGTAGAATGGCAAGATAAGTGGAGGAATGCCTAAGGGTTGTATTTTGCACAAATTTTATATTAATTTCTTTCCTATTTTAATACATTAATGATGAAGGAAAATTAAAGAGACAAGTGTATGGTTAGATGGGAAAAGAATGCATTATGTGTACGGCTGGATGCAAGACACGTGTACGGTCGGATTAAAAGCATGTGGAGTGATGATGTAAGCATGATGTCATGGGACACTTGTCATCACAAGATTAAAAGAGAAAATGGATGGCCTAGATCAAGCCACGTATTCTTAAGATCAACGGCCCAGATCCAGTCTTGTTTTCTATAAATACCACCTCCCCACCCGTCATTTCGTCCAACCTTATGGAAACCTTAGGGAAGCTCCGAAAAAATGGTTTCTAGAGAGAGAAAGAAGAGGGAGAAAGAAAGGCCAAGTAGTCCCATGCAAGATCAAGCTCTAAAACAAGGTATGTTTATGGTTTTTGATGTAGTTTTCACTACTCTTGTTGTTGTTGAGTTTGGTTATGGATTTTAATGATTTTTGGGAGCTTGGAACCCTTGGGAGAGGTGCTGCACAAAATTGTTAAGGATAGGGGAAGATGAA